GGGGGGGGGGAAAGCAGTGGTTCTTTTTCTTATAAGCTGACTGTAAGTCCAATAAAAGCTCCCAACAAGAATTAGTTGCCAGCCAGCTCTCCTGCTGAGTTACAGCTGAACCACCGAAGAGCAAAGTCTTAACTGTGCGGTGAATGAGTAAGCAAAAGAAAAATCCATCCATCCATTCATTTTCTTAACTTCTTTACCAGTTCAGTGTCATATGGGTCTGAAACCCTATCCCAGCTGTCATAGGACGAGAGACAAGGTACACCCAGTTTATCGCTGGGCAAATACAAGTTGGGATAGACAACCATTCATGATCACATTCACACTTATGGCCAATTTAGATCACTAGTTGACCTAATAACTCCTGATACTGTGTAAGGAGGCCATTTTTAAAAAAACATGGTACTCAGAGAGTCCTGACTGACTGCCGAGCGTGTGTGGCATGTGAGAGAGCTGCCTCTTCATGAAATGCGGCATCGCTGATATTTGATTCAGTTTCAATTAATTTCAACAGCTACCATTCCACCACGAGTCTCTGCTGGTGGACCGGAAAGAGTCGAAATTGACCAAAGCAGAGAAGAGAGCTGCTAAGAAGAGCTACGAGGATGAGAAACGAGCCTCTGTACCTTATTCCCGTCCATCATATGCCCCCTATTACCCAACCAGTGATTATCCGCTCACAAACATACCAGCATTTGCCCAGCGTGGATGGTGAGTGCAAGTCTACAGTGTTTTGTTTTGCATTCATTGAATGTTAGTTTTTGATTTTCTTTTGAAGTCATTACTACACTAAGTATCTTGCATAATATAATTTAAAAAATCACTCCAGGTTCGGCAAAGTCTGAAAAAAATGGTAGCTTTGATTGCTTCTTTTTTTTTTTTTTTTTTAATTCTACCTGCGTTTCTCATCTTTTTCTAATGAATTTCCAAACTACAACTACAGAGAGAGAGAGAGAGTGTGTGTGTGCGTGTGTATTCGTGTTTGTGTGTTCATGTTCAAGTTCATCTAATAAGTTCAGCCTTCATATTTGCAGGCGTCCCATGACACGGCCAGATGACAAGCCTGTGGCAAGTGTCAGGCCAATTCAGTCAACACCAATACCCATGATGCCTCGCCAGGTCGGCATGGGCATGGTTGGCTCTTCCGGCAGTCTCCCTGTCAACTTTCTCCAGAAAGCCGGTGTTTACGTGCAGAGGATTGTCACCACAACAGGTTATTATGATGTTTTTAATGTTTAAATCACAATAAATAAATAAATAAATGATCAGATATTACATCCGCCATTTGTCTGGATTCACAGATATAGTGATCCCAGGAGCCAACAGCTCAACAGATGTTCAAGCTCGAATCAGCGCAGGAGAGAGCATCCATGTTATCAGAGGATCTAAAGGTTGGTTCAGTGCTGTGTTAAGAATTCTGTGCATACAAACACTCATTTAAACATCTCTCTTCACTTACTCTTTTCTGCAAAGCAGGTACCTACATCAGAACAAACGATGGACGAATATTTGCCATTCGATCTGGAAAGATCAGTCGACCTGCAGCCGGGGGTTCTGCTGCTTCAAGAGGTAGGGGTTTTCCTCTTCATTCAGATGTTTTGTCTCATTCATAAGACAAGTATTTCTTATCTGATTAATCAGTGAAATAATCAGTAGAACACTTGATTTCTAAAATAATCGATAGCTGCAGTCTTACACTTAATCAAATTTAGATATTTCTCTTCTGGTCTGTAATGCTGTTTATCCATCCAAGTTGGGTACATCAGACACAAGGCCCAGGGAACAAAGCCAGAATTGACCTGGCAGGGACTCCAGTCTGGCCCACCTGATGTGATTGGAGCATCTAAAGGAGGGCATAAATATTGGACTTTTAACAGTATTGTTATATAGCATTTCCTACGGATAAAGACCTCCCACATGGCTATTCATGGCCTCCTGAGAACCGAGGAAACGACTAACTTTCAGTTGGCTGGTTCTCAGAAGGATAGTACACCAAAGTAATTGAATAATAAATAAATAAATAATTTTAGATGACAGTGAAAAACTGGAACTTTTCTATCTACAATAGAAAATGTAGTTTTGTTTTGCTTAGTTTTTTTTTTTGTTTTTTTACAAAGTGTAGTTAATGTGCAGTTAAACTTCCTTAGTCTGATGGAAAAGGGAGTTTCTTTGGTCTGGCCGACTTAATATCAAAGTGGGTTGTATGTGGCCCTCGATGTAAAACAAGTTTGACATCCCTGATCCAAGTCATTTAGGTAAGACGGAGAGTATGTAGGACCTACTTTCTTTTTGGATGTATGTCTTTGATTCTTTGAGGACCACATTTCATTTTGTTCCATTATATTTAAGAGAAGTTGGACAAACTGGGGAACTGTAGAAAAAAAGGTGAATTTGATTTGAGGGTGAACTGTCCCATTAATCAGTGATCACATTTGTGCAATGCACTACATTAAGTTTTTTAACAAGATTTTCAACTTATAACTTTGTCATTTTCTTTTCAGGATTGACCTTTCAAAATTAAATTCCCCAAAGACGGGAACCCTGTATAAGACCCCTGACATGTCTGCATTTCTGTCTTCTCTACAGACTCCCAGGGTTCGGGGATCCGACCAGTCAGTAATGGCTGTTCTTCCCCTGTGGATCAAAACCAACGTTCCCCCAACGACGAGCAGCGACCCTCTTCTCCCTTAGGCACGGAGATCCTCAGAGAGCTCAGCCATTACACCTCATCCACAGGCGACGCTGCTGCTGCTGGAGCAGGGAACGATTTGGCGTCGCCGTCAGACATGTCATCTGTGCCGTCGGGAGATGGAAATGCTTCACAAAACTTTCAGGCCCGCGATCTCAGTAGGCTCGGTGACGACCTTCTGAGTTCATCTTTAGAGATGCGAGGCACCAAACGCAAGAGTACTGAAAGTCAGGGAAACGCACAAATGGGAGACAAATGTACTTCTGCTGCAGCTCATTTCCCTTCGCTTTCAGGTGGGCTCAGTTTTCCTCCAGTGGGTCTGAACTCATCCCTACTTGGGAACCTTGGTCACATGAGTCACCCACTTCTAATGGCTGGTAGTGGTGGATCATCATTCCTACAAACACCAGGACAAACACTGGCTGACCTACAGACCATATTTCCCTCTGCAGGCACAGACCTACTGAGACAACCTGCCACAGGGAACGGGCACCTTCCCACCCCCTCCTCTTCCTCTCTGTCCACTATTTTCTCCTCTGCCTCTACGACCATTCCTATGTCATCTACATCCTCAGCAACAACTTCTTCCTCCCTACCATCTGGTTCTCTGCCTCGGTACTTGATGAACCCCAACATGGCTGGCCTGCTTTCACCAAGGTTCCCCCTCACCTTCAGTCAGCCATTGCTCTCTGAGCCGAGGTTGTTCTCCACGCCTCTTCTCTCAGGGTCAGGGGGGTTTTCTGCACCCAACTCCAGCTCGGCTACATCCAGCTTCCTGTCCCACTTCAACAATCCCACTTCCAGCCTGTTGGGGGCAGCTCTGACCCAACCAGACAGACATCAAAGTACAGAGAACGGCGGTGACAGTTCAGATGATGATGTTATTGAGGTGACAGGACAGTAAGTCAGGAGTCTCAGAAAGTGCTGGCAAGGCAGTTACACACATACACATCTGTTTAACCTAAAGTGCATTAGGAATGGGAATATTTAAATCTTTTATGCAACTAAATCAACGAAATTCTGTTGTACCCCCCAAAGTTGCGTGCTATTTTCTGAATTTGCTCTCAGAATGCAAATGAAGAGAAAAAAGTGCAACTTGATTAGATTGAAATGCATAAATAATAAAACGTCTCAGGAAGGATTTATGTTAATCCTGAACCTCTTAAATAGAACGAAGTTGCCTGCTTTGACTTTATTTGGCAGTGTTTCACTTATGACCAAGCAAACAGTGGAACTGAATTCCCATTTCTAATGATGTCATTAAATGTCACACATCAGGACGCACACAAACAGCTCATACCTTATTGACTTTCCAGAGTCAAGAGTTACAAAATCCTCATGCTGACTGTCCCAAGTTGTTGAGCTGGAGCAGCAGAGCAGTGGGAACAGACCTTTGTCATACGGGGACCAGCCGAATCTTTCAGGGAGGCAAAACAGCCTCTTTGTGCTACGTTTTAAAGCAAGGCTATGCCTGCAGTTTTCTTTCCTCTGACTTCAAATGAAAGTGATTGGAAACTTTTTTTTTTTTCATGGCCAGTTTCTTATTAAAAAGTGTAACAAAACTGGAACGCTACATGCCACAATAATGAGTAACACACAGTAGCTAATGGGTGGAGGGGATTGTGAAAATCCCCAATATATTGAGAGATGATCCTTCAAGGCTCACCTTTAACAACAGGAATTTTAGGCTTTCAAGCATATTTTAGTCTTTAGCAGTTTGATAGACATTGTAGCTCCCCTGTTAAAGGATATGTGTGATACTATAATTGAACATGTTGATACTTTGTAAATAAACAGTCATTATCATTGTTTATATTGCAAGTCAATACTGTGCAGTGTGTAGATTTTGGTCGTAAGGAAATGGTTTATTAATACGGTGACAGTCATCATGATAAACCCACCCTGAGGATGCTGGGGAAGCAAATTTCTGTTTAACTTTGTATTTTTTTTTTCCCTTAAAATTAAAGTGAATGTACTATCATACTAGCCTTTGATAACACAGGGGCAGGGACATGGATTTGGACTGTGTTCTTTCATTTTTAGCCTTAAATAGACACAAAGGGGTCTTCAGTCTTAGCATTTATCTTATTTTTTACAAATCCGTCCTACTGACATTTAGACCCTCGGCGCAAAACTCAAAATACAAATTTAAGGTAGATTTTGACTGGAAGCCAAAAGGAGCTCAAACCAAGGTTTAATGTTGCTAGCTTATTCGCAGAAGCCTGTCATTTCTCCTCCATTGCAGTTCTTACTGAAGTGTCCCCACCATTTAGTTCATGACTACTCAGTGAGCTTACACTCAACATGTAATCTCAGCTGCAGTAACTGTATTAGGGTTTTTCTTTCTGAGAACAAACGTTACCTGAGCTATAGAAACCATTGCATTCATGCAGCCTGAGAGCATCAAAATGTCGCTAATGTAGCCACCAACCATCAAACTAGATGTAACTACCCTTTCAGTACAACCGCCTGTGACTGTGGCAGAACCGGGTCAGGTGATATGGTGACCTTACAAAACTGACAGTGCCATAATGTGGTAGCTTTTCACCTCAGTGCAGTGCAGTGTAAGTAGCTTCTGTCAGTAGTGTCAGTCAGTGTAGATATGCAGTGCTTTAGGGAGTTTGGGTCTTCACTGTTCTCCGTAGCCTTGTGTGTCTGTGTTATCATGTCACCTTGAGCTAATTAGTTTTAGGAAAGTCGCTTTCCTATGTTGGTAAACTAGGCTAGATGCAGTGCTTATTAGCCTTTAGAGACACTGGATAACCTGAGACAACAGTTGAGTTACGTTATTCGTATGCGTTTTTTTTCTGGGGATCTTCTCTCTCCCCTGTTGAGTACTGTTCTTTTTTATTTGCTGCAGGCTTCCTGTCAGCTTGGATACTTTTTTTTCCTCCCCCTCCAGTTTTTCTTGAACACATCTTGGGAACTTGTGATTTGGTTTGTTTCCAATTTGAAGGTAAAGCTAGCACTTTGTAAAAGGACCATATCTGCTTGTGAGCTGTACAAGGTACAAAATAACGACCCCGTGTCTTTGTTACGTCTTCTCAATCAGTTGGAAATGCTTTACATCTTTTGTTCTTTGGAATATTTCATTCATTTGCAAAAAAAAAAAAAAAAAAAAAAATCTTTGGTGTTCACCTGGCAGTCATGTCCCTCATTACACTCTAAATATCGGAAATGTATTTATTTATGATGGAAAATGTTGTTTTTGTAATTACATTTTTTACCTCTTTTTTTTTTTTTCTCGATTTGTCCCATTAATGGCTGATCCAGTCAGATTTTCATACATGCAGCCTAAACCGAAGCAAAATATGACTGTGTTATCAATGTTATTTTAACAATAAAACACTCTTCTATCGCAGTGTCAATCATACACAAATACATTTATTTTAAAAGCCATGATGTATCCAAATGTGACAGTACAAACAATCAAATGACAGGATCATCAGTAACCTGAGAAGAGGTCAACGTTATTTCAATGTCAGGTCAATATACAGTATATTATGGGCTTTTAATAATATTAAAATATTAGGTATTTGCTTATCTATAAATGAATGAAAACTTTAAAATTTTAAAAGACGGGGAAACACCCTTCAACTATATTGAGTGCTGATTTTGCAGAGGGCACCCTGCACCTTCCATGTTTGGAACACCACAAACACCAGTTGATCCGAAGAGAGCATAAACAAGTAAATAAATGGTGTGTGTATATATTCATACATGTATATACACACATATCATTCTTTAAAATCCCTTATTGAATAAGTACTAGCTCCAACATTCCACCCTTTGCATGTTTGTTGGTTTAAAACTGCAACATTTTCTACTTAACACAAAAACTTTAAGTTAAAGCTAACATGAAGTAGCAGAAACTAAACAAACAAGCCAGACAGCAGCTTTGGTAGCATCTACCCCAAAATTAGAGGCCAACTGGTGTCAGTTTTTTTTAAAGAACAATACAAATGCTGATAGTTGATATAAAAATCTAATATCCAATAAATGTGCCAATATTTTATTTTCTTTCAACATTTAACGTTGATGTGTAGTTATTTATTTACTCGCTTACACTCTTCTCGACACTCAAAATATAAAGGCTGCTTCCTCTGTCTCATCTTTAATTCTCATTTACTGGCTATTACAAATGCTGATAGCATTAAGATCAGCAAATAGCTGATATTTGTTGATAACCCAAAATCCAACAAAGACTACATAAGACATGACCTCAGTGTCAACAATTGCAGCTCTTGTTCCATGCGTATTGAAAAAGGATTTCATAAATCACACATAGTGCCTTTTCTTCTTCAAAAACAAACAAACAAACAAAACATCAGGGAGGCTCATGGCAGCAAAAACCAGCACCTTTTGCCCTCCATGTAAATCAGTTTAAAAACAAACAAACATCCAACTCAAATAAGTTTAATCTGTGAGGCTAGCTCATCTTAAGTTCTTTTACATCCTCATCAGGACTGGAACCGTTTTTTAGCCATGTAAGATCTGGAGACTTGGTTCATTATGACCAAGGCACTGAGCACCAGGCAGAGTGCTGACAGGTACCAGGTGTATTCTCTGACAGCTCCAGCGAACCACACAGAGCAGAGGCCCAGGAGCATGCTGGCACTGCCAAGCAGGTAGGTGATGAGTCCAGACGCCGCGTGGTAGCGCTTGAGTTTGGCGAGGGACCAGCCTTTGGCTAGAGAAGGATAACTGAGAGGCATCGCTGCCAAGGACTGCGCAATGACCACACACACTGTCAGCAGGCCCAACAGACCGTGCCACGAGGTGAAGTGGGGTTTACCACTCAGGTGTTTGTTATAAAAGATGGCAGCAAAGCCCAGGACTGCACAAGAAGCACAGAGGCCCTGCAGGAGCCGGTGAACACCACCTTTGGTTTTGTGTGAAAAACTTTTGATAGGAGAGCCCTCAGGTGAGAAGAGGAGTATAGCTTCTGTCATGAAGAAGGAAAACTGGAGGGAAAGGACATTACCTGAGTCGTTGGCAAATTTGATCAATTAAAGAATCTAAGAACATTTTAACTGTTTAAACTTACAGCTAGGGTCATCAAGAAAGGATGCCAAGAAAACCAACCTAAAACAAAACAGGAAATCAAATTAAATGCGATGCAATGACGGGCACTGCTGTAGAAATGTGTGATTACTTAAGGCACTCACTTGTACCAGGTTGAGAGAGAACTGAGATGAAGACAGCGAAGCCAAAGCAGATGAGGTGGGTCAACACAACAGACGCTGTTCTGGTAAAGCCATAAAGCCGAGGCTCTGATTCAGGCTCTTTCTTGTGAACCATGTCTTTAAAATTCACTCAATCGCCACAATGTGACCGACGTGAACTCGCCGTTAGTTGAATCAATGAGAAGCGGAAGTGACGATGGGCCAAAAGTCCTTGCGTTGTCTTCTTTTGCTGCTCCACTGTTTTATTTAACAACCCGGCACAAACAAAAGCCTACATTAGTAAATTATTAACATGTCCCTTGTCGTGACGTCAACACACGTCAAGCTTTGGTGTTTTCCGCCGGCGATGATAAGACTTCCGGCTAGGGTTTTCAAAACAAAGTACGTTGGAACACTTCCACACAAACGTTCATCCGGAGACTCTGTAACATGTCAGCTGATTTACCTGAATCTGAAATCCCCACATTGTCAAATAATACAATAAAGATTTTCGTTATTAACATCTGGTCCGATTGTGTCAAATTTGACACGGTTCTTCTACTACTATTATTTCTGCTTCTTCTTTTTCTTTTATTTTAGCTGCTCCCTTTATGGGTCAGAGTCAGATTTATTGTCACATCAGAGATTAACAAAAGTAAAAAGTGGGGGAAAAACTTTTTGTTTCAGAACAGATCAGCAGAAACACAGTGAGACACCACATTTTATATATGCTCAAATGCATTAGTAAAAGTGCATATGTCTGACATCAAAATAGCAATAAAAATAAAAGTAAATTAACAGGTCGTAATTTATTCAGCAACCTGACAACAGTCGGAAAATAGCTCTTTTGCATCCTGGTCGTGTGCCTGAGGATGCATTTATAGTGTTTCCACATGATGATGATCCACTGTTGTTGACTTTTCCTTCTCGCAGCTTCACATCAAGCACATGCCCAAACCAGCGCAGCCTTGCTTCACTAACTCAACCTGAGCTGGTCTCACCCATTTTGTAAGGGTCCCCTTTCATTCTTGCTGCCTGTCCATCTGTCACAGATCATCCCTGATACTCAACTTCATTATCTCTCTTATGCATTATTGTTTTAGAGGGTTGACCCCAGGTATTCACACTCATCCACTTTCACTGCCTCTGCTCTTTGCAGATATTACACCTGCTTCCCTCTCTGTCACACACACGCAGCGCATTCCCCCTAAATATTGACTGAATTAGCCTCTCAAACATGTATGTTACACAGTCCTGCACATAAACACATTTATCCTTATCCTGAATTAAATCATGTAAGTAAATAAGGTTATAACATACCAGATGGAGCATTAACCTTGGGTTCTGTAAATGATCTATTGATATAGGAGCATCTCCACAAGAGTTTTCATAACAATCGTTTCCTTGGCTTGTCTGATCTGAAAAAAATACAGACATAATATTTTTAGTCCACCAGCCCAAGATCTGAGCTTTGTCTGATTAACCTGCAGTAGTCTGTGCAAAGACTCAGAAATAACTCAAATCCAAATAAAACGGCAATCTTGTTACATGGTAAAGCTTTTATTCTGAAACCGAAATTCCCACAATTCCTTTCATTTTATTCTGACCAGCTTAACCGCCGGCTTCAGTTGCTAGTTTACGTGGACAGAGCATTGTAGTACAACCTCTCCTCAAAAGTGCTTGAATACTTGCACGCGATTGCTGCCAGGCCCTTTAACACGTGGTCAAGGTCCTTGAAAAGGTGTATTTATCTCTAACAAAGTGGTTTTGTAGTTGTCGGTTATTGAGAAAATTCTGCAAAATAAATTTCGGTGCCATTAGATGCATCCCTCATGCTATTTATTGCACAGTGGATAAGAAGTGTCATCTAAAGTACCTAAAGCATTTCCTCAGTTTATGTTATATGTCAGACTAATGGCACCAGTTCCACACCCAGCACTTACTGGTCAGCTGCCTATTAGTTGTTGTGCTTCAATTACGCTCTAATAAGCTTGTGACTCTGCATGGCTTCCACACTTGCAGAGTCACAAAGAGCACAGAAAACAACAACATTGTCAGTCAGAGTATCTGTCTCCTCTCTCCGTCCTATACAATGCACACCACACAGGGTACTGCATGTCTTCACTGTTGCAGGCTTTAAAAATGAAGCTTCTTAAAAGGTAAGCATGAGCAGTAAAGTTGCTTTTGCTTTTAGATACTCACGTTGTTGGTTCTTTAAAGGAGCAAGTAGACCTGGCAGGAATTTAAAGGGTATGATAACAGAATTATTTCCATGGTTAAGAAAGACAATTCACAACATCAAATCAAGTCAAGAACACTGTAGACATGTCATTGTCAAAGTCTATAATCAAGACACACTTTCATGAATGGAAATACACAAGGCTTACAACAAAAAACAATGAAACAGGAAGTTTAGATTATACTGTGTTGGAGAACATCGAAAAGAGGCTGCACAGTTTTGGAAATAAATCTTTGGACAGATGAAACCAAGATTAACTTGTGTCGGATTGATGGGAAGAGAAAAGTGTGGAGGATGAGAGAAACGGCTCATACTACGTCATCTATCAGACATGGAGACAATATTATGACATGAGCATGTACGGCTGCCAGTGGACCCAGGTCAGCAGTGTTTCTTGAAGATACGACTACTTATAGAACTAGTAGGATGAACTTTGAAGTTCACAGGGCTATACTCTCTGCCCAAATTCAACCAAATGCTGCAAAACTGATCAGACTATACTTCACAGTACAAATGGATAATAGCTCAAAGCATACTGAAAAAGCAACCCAAACGTTTCTGGGTGCAAAGAAATTAAATATTCTTCAATGGTCAAGTCAGTCACCTGACCTTAGTTCAATAGAGCATGTTTTCAGTTAACTGAAGAGAAAAGTAAATGAACGAGACTGAATAAAAAGCAAAAGACCCATTCTTTTTCTTTTTCTTTTTTTGCCTGTCCCGTTTGGATCTTTAGCCAACAGAATTGTTGTCTGAAGGCCAAAAAAGATGCTTAGCGAATTTACTTTACCAAGTGGATCATCATGGCCTTGCCATATTGGTCCATTTGATTGACCTTTATTATAATTATGTATTTATTTGATTTTATTTTCAGTTGTTACAGACGGGACAGAGATGACTGGGGGATAGGACAGGGAGAAAGAAAGAATGAAAGAGAGGGAGAGAAAGACAAACTGGAAAGAATAGATAGTGAGGAAGGAGGGAAGAAAGAAAGAAAGAAAAACACCTGGATCACCTGTTGAGAGAAGAAAAAAACAGAAGAGAAAACAAACAAAAAAGAGCAACATAATAAATATAACACTATCACAATAAACTAGCTAACAGTAGATAACAGTAGATACTAAATATTAAATGTTATTGTGCAGCACGCAAGATCAACAGCACACAATGTGCTTTGAGGTAGCAGCCAAGAAAGGTGTAGTTTGTGTCTGTGAACACCCGTGTGTATACCTGTGTGGATCAGCACGCTTGTATTCAAAAGGTTTCTCCATGTAACGATCTGCTAGGGAGTGTGGGGAGCCATAGCCCCGTCCCCCAGGGCATGAAGCAGGTATGGAGGAGATCCAGGCCCCAGACATCCAGAGGGCCCAGAGTACGAAGACCCAAGGAGGACCACTAAAGGGGCAACCGTGCCACCCTCCTGGGAAGAGCTGAGGAGAGCCCCAGATGAGGGGTCACCCAGCAGCCACGGAGCCGAGGCCAGAGGGGGTTGCAGCGACGTGCCTCTTTTTTTGCAGAGCCCAAAAGACCCATTCTAGTGACAGATTTCCATGACTACGTTGTACATGTACAATAACAATAAAGGGCTATTCTATTCTTCTATTCTATTTCTTCATTAAGCCATACATTCCCTTCCTTTTTTATCTGTTCTGATGTTCCAGAGCTGTGGACCTTTAACTGTGAAAACGCTGTTTTCTGTTTGGCTGGTTTTTAGTCGTTACTAACTGTAGAGAAATTATCTCACGCCCTCTTGTAGCTTCAGATGTGCCTTACTCCCACTTGTGAGAAACAGAGAATGAGCGTGTGGGACATGAATAAATCATGTTATGGTATTCTAACATGCATTTCTGGCCTGGGAGAATCTGCCATATTGGAGCCTGGAAGGTTTTTTTTTTCTCTCTGACTGATTTGCCAGTTCAAGTGTCCCCAAATCAAAAATGAATCATTCTGTTCATTTCAAACAAGTATCCGTTTAAGCATATCTACTGTTTTATTATGGACTAAAAGATTATCATTAAGAATTAATTTTGTTATTCGGAATTAAACAGTTTTTTGGGTTTTTTTTAATGATCGCTACTCTTTCTGATACAGCAACGTTTATTAAATACTGGGCTTTGTTGTCAAAGGAATTTCCCAAATGAAATGCGTCATTCAGCAACAACACAGAGATGAAAAAATAAATTTATTTAGGAGCCGTTTATATTTAATTTACGATCTTTTTTATTTATTTTAACATCCTGCCAAAGCTATCATCAGTATCATCAAGAACAGCTCCCACTTACAACTCCATCTAACAGTCGAGTGTCTGATGAGAACAGAGGGGATTCCTCTTAGTGTAGCTTAATACTCATATGGGATTATACGGTAATCCCACACCCACAATGTGCATGCGCAAACAGAAGTGCGTGCGTCGGACGAGGGACGGGTCGCTGTTAATTCAACGACAAGCTGCGAACGCTCTTCAGATTCCCTGTAGAATGAGTGTGGGTGATAAAGTAAGCGAGGTAAGGTCATCTTCAACACTTTGTCTTTCAAAAAATACGGATTTTTGCTCGGGTGTGACTGTCAACTTGAGTTTGTCGTCCCGTCTCAGACTGCGGGATTAACTCCGTTACACGCAGAGCTGCATTAAGCAAATCAGATGACCAATGAAACAATAAGATGTCGTGAAGACTTAAGCATACATGAGTTCGACTGGTAAACAAACCGATAAGACCCCCCATAATAAATAAATTGCATGGATACTTATGGACGGTTACAATGGGCTCTTGTTGCCCTGTGTGAATAATTGCACCGTGTGGTGACCCACTTGGCAGACAGACTCCCGGGTATTCATATTCACGGCACAAAGCAGCTCCACAAGGACACTAATTTAAAGAGTTCCAGATGAACCTGTGAGCATGTACACTTATTCTTCCTAGTGGTATTTGACTTTATTATCATTATTATTATTATTATTATCAGTTTCTGCAGCTCAGAGATCAACACTGGCAAGCAGTGTGCACATGCTGTCTGTCTCAGCTGAATGATGTATTCAGGTTCTTCAAAGTAAACTGACAATTATCAACAAAAAGTATGAGCCATGTGGTTGTTACTGAAGTTGCCAGTTGTTTCTGACATAGCTCTG